TGCTGATACTACACTCTGCACTGTGTGCAGATCCTAGTGTTGCAGTCNGCAAAGACAAAATAACATGTTGTCAAGTATTTTCACGTTGAAAGCAGTAAATTCAGTATTGAAAGAAAGGTAAAGACATAAAAGAAAGGAAAAGAAAAAGAAGTTAGTTCGCGTAATGAGAGAAAAAAGCAAATAAAGAGATAAGGATTGGGGAAAGACATAATATAGCAAAATTAAAAGTTTGGAACAAGTGAACATGATAAAGGGAAATACATGTGGTAATCAAATTAAACAAGAGCTGCATATGAGTGCATATAAAAGGGGAAACAGGGGAAAGGATGTGCATGTAGCAATAAAAGGGAAAATGGGAGCGGGAGATTCAAGTAACATAAAAATAACAAGACACGCTTATTAGAGAAGACTAATTCACAAAGATCAAGTTCGTAATTGTAAGAGCCTGAAATTCCCCAGCAGAGACGCCATATTGGTGCGCCCCTTTTTCTCGTGAAATCGGGTTTCGACACGTGACAACTCTTTTAAGGAAGGCTTTTAAAAGAGAGTCTCCACCTAATGATTTTAAGGTGCATTAGGGCACCTATTTCGCACATAACTCTGTTTGACCAGTTTGTTTCACCAAAGATCGGGTAAGGGCTCGAAATTACCTCGAACAGAAGGTGTTAGGAACTCTTCGAGGTCCACAGCTGTTGGTCCCGGCCGAACTCAATTATATGAATTAGTCTATATGATCAAAGCTAGGAGATAAGGAATTATTAAACATGAATGAATAATTGTTAGACAAATGGGAAGGGGGGGTCCTAAGTTTTTTATCCTAAATGATCACCCCGTGCAACATAAAAAATACTTCGTAACTCCCTCGAGATGGGGTGTTACTCATATTATTCAGCGGGCACAAACTATCATCTCCTGCTACCCAATTACTATCTTTAAGTTTTTACCTAAAGCGCACTAGTCAATTCTAAGCCGTGTCCTAAGTGTGCATTAACCGTCACATGCCTATGATCCAGGAGGCATTTGGACCTCTATTTCAGGGTGGTTCCAGACCTTAACTTAGGTTGCTCTAAAAAGGGAAAATGCTAAGCGACAGACAAGAACCACTAGGAATTTCAAATAGGAACAAGTATAGTCTCAAATTAGCCTCCGCATTTAGACAACAAATGCACGCAAGTCTGATTAACAAAACAGTTGCTGATTTTAAACAATTAAGAATGCACAGGATTTCTATATGAATTTGGATTTAATGGGCGGATAGTTATATGCAAAAGCCATTATACTTTCCAAAACCTATATGATTTGCCTACCGATTTTAAACATAAGGGAATTAAACCTATAGGCATGATGTCTAGGTGTTTTACGCGATAATAAAATCTAGCAACCACAGAAACATATCCAGAAGTATCTTTTTAATCTTATAAGCTTGTTTTCTAGTGAGAACAATAACACACTGTTTGGAGACTCTTGAATAAACAGGCAGAAATTAGGTTGATTAAAACTTATAGGCATGCTTTCTACAATTCATTCCAATTTTAGATCCTATAGACATGATTTCTATAATTTGTAAACAAAACGGCATGTGAATGCGGTTTCTGCACACACATTGAATTTACAATTTTCTATATGCATGGTTTCTAACACACGATAACCGAACATGCAATAGCACATTTTAGCTTAGTGATGAGCCAATAGGCAGGATTTCTACCCATTTTAGTGCAAGTATAGGATAAAAACTCTTCCCCAGTTTTTACTAATACCCCAAATTGTTATAACAAATAATTATTACAGACTAGAATTAATGTAGCAAATTACCGAATAAGTATAACTAAAGGGAGCCTACAGCAGGCCCAGATGCACTTGGACAGGCTAGGTCTTCAACCCACAACATCTCAAAAATTAATGCTCATAGATACAAAATAACCAGTTGTTGAGTGATTCACCCATATATCAAAGCTGAGCATACATAACCCAAGTCCCAAGTGTGTCAGAGATCCCAAGGGCTTCAAGTACCCAGGACAGTGCTCACACTAGGGAAGTTCACAGAGATCATTTAGAGGAGGGACTAGAGACCAAGTTCTAGTGTGTCAGAGTTCACAAGGGCCTCTCATGGACCCGAAGTAGTGCTCACACTAGGGAGGGGTCAAAGGACAGAATTAGAATAGCCCTGGCTTTCAGCCGGCTAAGAAGAGAACTTAAGTAAGAGGTGAAAGAGAAAAGACTAAAGTTGAGGGACAGGAATTGAGGGGTTTAAACAAACACGACAAAGTTGAACATATTATGCAAATAGTTGACCAAATCGCATAATTTAAAAGCCACACATGGATTAAAAAGATAAAAGCGAATTAAAGAGAAAGAAGATACCATCTCCTTTATGCAAAGCAATTAGATTCCCATATTACCTCGTCATACTCCATAAGAGAAGGAATTTGAGTTAATTAGACGTCCATGTGGGATTAGTAATCTTAAATATTAGGGTTTTCTAGTTCAGAGAAGGAAAGTTTAATAACAAAATTTTTAGCTATCTAATATATAAATATAAGAAAAATTTAAATTATAATTTTATCCAATAAAAACTCTAATTTAAAAGGGTAAAAAGATAAACGATATTTCGCTAAGAGCCTTGTGCTTTTAATATAGCATAGATAGATAGATAGATATAGATAGATATAGATTTCCAACATTTAACTATTTTTAAAACGGTGCTACTATAGTTATTTTGATTGTACCTTGAATAATTTGAAGTATGTGGCACTTTTTCACTTGTATACATCTTGAATAACTTTTCCACTAAAATTTTAAATGCATGATTTTTTTTTTTAATTTAGTGTTACTTTTTTTGAGATTCGAACCTTAATTTCTCGGACTCTAATTGTTCGATGCTAGACAGCAAACCCAAGGTCAAATTAAATATTTTTATCTTTTAGCACCATTTGCAAACATTTTTACATTTTCAAATGCTAAGACTATAATCTATATATAATACTTTTTATTTTTTTCTATTTATTATGAAAATTTTGAGAAATCAATGCTCAAATTTGCTATGAAATTTGTTAATATTATACGACCTCACCAATCTTTTTATAGGAGGAGCATTTGAAAATAGAATACAAGAGATTTTTGTAGGATAATTTTTTAAGCTAAATTGTAAAAGGTTATGCTTTTATTGTTGGACAGGTTAGATTTTAAAATAGAGATCTTAAGTAGATATATGATGGTAGTTTAAAATGAGAAAATCACATGATAAAATAACTGTCATCAAATACGTGAAAAAAATAATAGAAAAGTCCTGACAGTGGAGCTTAGAAAAGTCTTGGCCTTCTTAAAAATGTGAAATTCAAAATTCATTTTTCACGCATTTCCAATTTACGAAAGCATAATATCCTTTAAGCAATTTGTTAATAAGATGTAAGATTTAGTTTCATTAGCCCTTTCCCTACCCCATCCCACCCAAAACAAGTAACACTCTATTTGGATTATTGTTCCCCATCATTTTATAATGTATTGTATTGTATCGTATTGTATCGTTTTAGGAATACAATGTTTGGATAGATTGTATTATTTGTTATTGTCAAATAATGCTTTGCTGTTTGGTTTGACTGTATTATACTGCAATATAACTGATAAGTTTACTAAAATACCATCAATTGTTTATATATTAAATTTATCAAAAATTATGCATAAAAATAATTTTAAAAAACAAAACAGAAGAAGGCAAAACACCTTAAGAAAGCAAAACAAAGGAGTGAGACAGAAGAAGGCAAAAACAAAGGAGCACATCTAATTAGAATTGAGTTAAAAGCAAATTAGGAGAAAAAATAAAAGAGAAGGCGGCAAAACTCCTTTAAGGTTGGCGGCAGAAGTTCTGGAAAAAATAAAGTAGGTTATAGGTTGGAGATTTGGAGTTAAAATAGCAAAAAAAGCTAAAAGATAAAATATAATTGTGGAGTAATAAGTTAGGGCATAATTGGAAAGAAAAATAGGAAATAATCCCACCACACCAAATCGATTGTTTGAAAAAAGGGGACTTTTTATTGTTTCGGAATAATGGATTTAACAATACAATACAACCAATTTTAATGAAACAATCAAAACAAATATTATTTTAGGATAACAATACAATATGATACAAAGCTGTAAGTGTCAATACTTGATAGGTGCAAAAGAGAATGTGCACAAAATAATACTATAAGAAAATCGGCTATTTTAATAAAGAAAAAGAAAAAAAGAAAAGAAGAAGAAGGAGGAGGAGGAGGAGGAGGAGGAGGAGGTAAGAGTTTATGGCTATTGTAGTCTATTTTAATTATATTTAACCAGAAAGAATATTTGATAATCCAAGTCAAACAGGCCATTAATTAGCATAACAAACCCTACTATATGCAATTAGTAACCGCGCTGTTGATGTCTAAGCTCTTATCGAAGTCTTGCAATTATTACTCCCTCCGGTTCAAAATAAGTGATTTTTTGGATTTTATTCACACAGATTAAGAAATCTACCTTTTAATATTAATTAGCAATGGTATTGACCATATTAACCTTTACTATCTCACATAAACACTCCTAACACATATTCCAACACTATTTACTCCAAGGACAATGTAGGAAAAAAATAATTAATTCTTTCTTGAAATCTGGCAAAATCACTTATTTTGAACCACAAGAAAAAGGCCAAAAAATCACTTATTTTGAACCGGAGGGAGTAGTTTATTACTATGAATTTATATTAAGATGAAATCTCAAAGAAATTCTATGCATGATAACACACACATATTTTACATCATCAAGTTAAATTGACTCAATAACATATAACTTCTCATAACAAGCTTAATAAACTAGATCAAATTTTGATTAATAACATGCTATAGTCAGTTAAATTACACTGTTTATGTAAAATTGTTTACACTGCAACTATATGTAACTTAAACCTCTTTTCAAAAATTAAATAAAAAACAATAGGAATCATATATATATCTTTTCTTTTCCTTTTTGTAAACTTATATATGTGATGGGAAGAATCATTCAATTGTGTTGTATGTGCATGCAATAGGCTTTGTCCTAATGCGCAAAACTCATATTCTACAAATTAAGCTGTCGCACTGCGACAGTAACACAAATGTTAAGTTACAAGGATATAGGAGAGGTGAAATCAGTCTGGCAATTGGGATGGTGAAGAAGTCTGAGTATCCTCGACTGAAATTTCAGTGGCATCATCAACAGTACTACTGCTATTAATAATTACTGGCCTTTCAATCTTGAGTCTTGGTCCATTGCTCAACATTTCCTTCTCCAAATACTGGCAATAACTTTCGAAAACTCGCGAACTCACATTAACTCCAAAATCTAACAAGAAAAGTAGTTCCAATTCTAGCTTGTTCAATTCTGCATTTGTTACTCCTCCAACCCGGGCATAGAATGCGTTGTTGTAGTGTCTGATGTACGTACATTATAACAGCAAAAATATCAGGAAATAATTAATGGTCTACGAGTGATTGTTCCAACTTGAATTTCACTTCTTTTCAATAAGTTATCATAGGCTATTCAATACTCCTTCTATCGCATTTTATTTGGCATACTTTCCTTTTTAATTTATCCCAAGAAAAATGATATATTTCTATATTTAAAAATAATTTAACTTTTTTGACCATAACTTTCAACCATCTTTTCTTCTTTCTTAAATCATGTCCGGTCAAACAACGTCATATAAAATAAAACGGAGGGAGTAGGTACTATTTTGTACACTTATAAGTTTACCTTTTGTTTCTACACAATATAATTTTACCTGGTATCCAAATTAGCTTGTCATTCCACTTTCCACACACACATACACTCTATATTTAAGTAGTTACTACACAATATAATTTTACCTGGTATCCAAAGTAGCACGTATTGAATATTATAAACTATGTACAATAATAGTATAAAAGTAAATTAAACCTTTTATAGTTACCTCTACTATTTATTCCAAATTACCAATTAGCACGTGAAATAGTAATGAATAATTACTTTTTAAAGTGTCGTAACTGCGTAAATATATATTTCTTACATTAAATATTATTGAGAGAGAAAATTAATACTTGTAGTATGAAAACTTGTTACATCATCAACATAAACAAAACCTTTTATAGTATATACTTAAGTAGTATTTATTCTAAATTACCAATTAGCACGTGAAATAGTTATGAATAATTACATTTTAAAGTGTCGTAACTGTGTAAATACACCTTACATTGAATATTATTGAGAGAAAAGAATACTTACGCATCGTCAAGCATTTTGGAAGCAACCATGACAGAGGTGACAAGCAGCCTATGAACATTAAGAGAAACGAGAAGAGAATCAGGATACTTATGCCCCAATCTGTCAATATACACATATCCCACCACAAAACAAGACGGGCTGCAATTTGTATACTTGTATAACCTCTCCAAATACTTTGGTATACTTATACTCGGCGCTCTCACCCCATGAAACGCATTAAAGTTCTTCCCCAACACCGAGCCGCCTTCGCCGCCGTTGCTGGCGAGTCCATTATCGTGGTGGTCGAGCATCAGCTGGTCATTTCGTGCAACCAACTTTTCGAGAACGTAGGATAAGATGGTTAGGACCCTGGGAGTGGTGGTGTCGATGGCGGTGCTCGGCGGCTCTGGCCGGCGGTGGAACTCGTCGCTGCCGCCCTCGTCCAGCATCTAAACCGCGTACTGTTTCATGAGGAAATTTCATGACTGCGGCTTTGGTTGTTTAATTGGATAGTATTCGATCCCGCGTTATCTTGTTGAGTTGTTTCCATCGCGGGGTGTTGGACACGTGTCACTGAATAAGACAATACTTAGGATGTGTATCATTCATTAGTAAATGCACCTCAAAATAGAAGATGTAGAAGTAGTCGTGGATATGGTTGTCATAGTATCTTGGGTTGCAGTAACTTTTTTATTACAAGTTCTCATTTTAGTTCTAATGTGGTAAAATGTATCCTCTAATGTCCTCTTCAGGAGTTGACGATGATTAGAGAGAGAAGATTAACCAAGTTGCACTTAAACTGGGTAAAAACTTACCCGCATCGGATATTTACACCAAACCAATAGATATATGGCATGTGTCTTGCATATGAAATTCAATCATTTAACCATGGTAACTTATATGTATTCACATCTAATGAAATTAATTAACCATAGTGAGTTAATATAGTTTGGTGTAAACACTCGGTGTGAGTAAGTATTTACCCTTAAACTGAGACGTACTACATGCTGCTTAATCTAATTTACTATTTTCCTTTTAAATATATAAAACTAGGGAATTTGCACGCTTCGCGCGGTTATAAACCACACCCAAAATATTTAGAAATGATTTTTAATTTATAGAATTAGTTGAGATATAATAGATAATTTCTGTACCAAATATATATATATATATATATATATATATATATATATATATATATATGTATTGATAAATTACAATTTATAAAAATAAATACTTTTGGTAAGAATTAGAGCTCACACTAACTGCATATTTTATTTTCGATATTCAATAAAAGTAAAATAAAGAAAAAATTTCACTTATACTAATATGGTGTTTCGGGGAGGTTAATACATTCTTTCCCTCTTTATTCCTTAGACTGTACTCTACCCTTTATTATTAAGTTCTATCTTCTTTTTTTTTTTTCAATTTTCACCATCTTTCCTACTATCATTTCCTATATTATATTTGTGTCTTCCTTCTTTTCTTTTTTCTCACAATCATATAGTTACTCTAGGAAAAAACTTTTGCTCCCTTTTTCATGCCAAAATTTTCTACAAAATTTCAAATGTTTTTTTTTTCTATTTTAATATTCCCATAAATTAAGAGAAATAATAAGAGACACAGCATTCTAGATTTCTTCTGCCTGCTTACACCCAACTTACATTTCTCTCTTTTCCTTTGATACTTATGAACAAACAATTTTGCTATGTTACCCTTCAAGCATGAAGATTCTAAAGTTCAAGATCGGCTTTTAATTATTTCAATGATTCTGAATGTAACGATCCGACTGGTCGTTTTGAACAATTGCATCCGGTTCGGCAGTTTGAGTTCAAGAACAGCTTCACATTATGTATATCGACTTGTGTGCAGGGTTGGATTCAGTTTTCGGATGAATCGGAGTCGAATTGGAAAGAAGGAATATAATCCTGGAAGCTTAAGCGGAGAGAATTTGACCGGAATTTGACTTTTGAGTAAACGGCTCCGGAATGACTTTTGAGTAAACGGCCTGGGAGAATGGCCTCTACTAACAGAATCCCTGCCTCCAGACGAGGCACCACTGAATCTGCCAGAATGACGAGGCCTCTTGTCATACCCCTGACCGCTCCCCTGAGCTAGAACCATCTCAACCCGCGTGGCCATATTGGCCGCATCCTGAAAAGAAATCTCGCTCCCTGTCTCCTTAGCAATCTGCAATCTAATAGGCTGAGCGAGTCCCTCAATAAACCTCCTCACCCTCTCTCTCTCTCTCGGTGGGGAGTATCAGAAGAGTATGACGACCCAAATTAATAAACCTCGTCTCGTACTGGGTGACAGTCATAAAACCTTGCTGAAGACGCTCGAACCGCCTGTGGTACTCCTCTCTCTAAGTGACCGGAAGGAACTTCTCGAGGAATAGCTGCGAGAACTGGTCCCAAGTCAAAGCAGGCGACCCAGCTGGTCTCTCCAAACAATAATCCCTCCACCATATTTTGGCGGAACCTGACAGGCGAAAAGCAGCAAAGTCGACCCCATTGGTCTCCACTATCCCCATGTTCCGTAGAACCTCATGACAGCTGTCCAAATAGTCCTGGGGATCCTCTAAGGATGTAACGCCATAGGTAGTAGTGAAGAGCTTGGTGAACCTGTCCAATGTCCAGAAAGCATCTGAAGACATAGCAGACGCATCACCCATCTGAGCTACAACACCCGGTGGAACTACCCAACTGGCTGAGCTGTTTGAGTCTAAAACTGGGGAGCTATATGCTCTGGAGTGCGAGTAGCGGGGGTCTGTGCTCCTCCCCCAGCCTGAGAGACGGCTGGTGCCACAGGAAGTATGCCTGCCTGAGTGACACTCTCCATAAGGCCCAGTAGATGGACCATAGCATCCTGGAGTACCGGGGTAGCGATGAACCCCTCTGGAACCTGAGCTGGGCCCGCTGGAACGGTCTGGGCTGGAGCCTCATCATCAAACTCTACCCGAGGCTCCACCGCTGGTGCTGCTGCTCTGGGCTGAGCCCTGCCCCTGCCTCAGCCTCTAGCACGGCCTCGGCCTCATCCTCTACCCCTCGTAGGAGCTGCCGCTGGGGGCTCGAGCTGCTGATCAGCTGATGAAGCGGTACGTGTTCTCGCCATCTGCGAAAGAACAGAGTAGAAGTTCAATTAGCATTGAGAAATCAAACCGCACGACAGAGATGAATATAAGTGAAATTGTTCCTAACTCTGTAGCCTCTAGGGGATAAGCACAGACGTCTCTGTACCGATCCCTCAGACTCTACTAAGCTTGTTCGTGAATTGTGAGACCTAAGCAATCTAGAGCTCTGATACAACCTTGTCACGACCCGAATATCCCAGCATCGAGGTCGTCATGGCATCTAACATTGTACTCACTAGGCAAGCCAACGTCACAAATTATTTCACCTTTTTCTTTTATCTTTTAACAATTTACATGTTAACAAAAGTAATCAGCGGAATAAAAACGGAAGATCAGAATTTAACAGATTAATACTAATAACGAAGCCGTAATAAATCTCCACCCAAAACTGGTGTCACAATTCACGGACGGTCTACGAATACTACAAACATTGGTCGGAACAAAGAAATATACATATGTTTGTAAAGTAGATAAATAGAAAAGAAATAGGATAGAAGGGGACGCCAGGGCCTGCGGACGCCTGCAGGACTACCTTGGGTCTCCACTGGACTAAAGGCACCCACCCAAGCTCTACTCACAAGGTCCGACACCGAGATCTGCACAAAAAGTGCAGAGTGTAGTATCAGTACAATGTACCCATGTACTGGTAAGTGTCGAGCATAACCTCGGCGAAGTAGTGATGGGGCTAGGACAAGGCAACCAACATAAACCTGTGCAGTTATATACTATCTAACAGAATAAAAATTATAGAAGCTAAACAGAAATTAACGGGAAGGGGCAACATGCTATGGGGATTATTAGAATAAGGAATCACATAAATAATGGAAATAAAACAATTAATGCACTTGATACGATAACAGCGAAATAATCACAGCAGACAGAAAATGCACGACATCACCCTTCGTGCTTTTACTCTCAATCCTCACCATGAAATCAATAACAAAAATGTGCACGGCAGTACCCTTCGTGCTTTATCACTCTTCCTCACCATATGAATAATAGAAATGCGCACGGCATCACTCTTCGTGCTTTATCTCTCTTCCTCACCATATGCATCAATATAAATATAAACGTGCACGGTATCACCCTTCGTGCTTTATCGCTCTTTCCTCACCATATGCATAAGTATGGATGTGCACGGCATCACCCTTCATGCTTTATCACTCTTTCCTCACCCAACAGTAGAAACAATAACATCCCGGCAAGGGAATCAACTATAACCAATCTTGTTTCAACAGTTAACTTCACAAAATAAGTCTCAACTTGAGTCAACACTCAACAATTACCCAATAACAAGAAAATATAACCAAACTTGTTCAACACGAAGAGTACCAGCATAAGCATGAACAATAAATGATAAGAGACACAATGATTACAAGTATAAGCTCATTTTCATGTTATGACCCAACAACAACGTATAGGTACTCGTCACCACACCTATACGTCGTACCCAACAATTAAACACGTAGCAAGTAAGACAACAACACCTATTCCCTCAAGCTAAGGTTAGACCAAACACTTACCTCAAGCCAACGGGTATTTCAAAGCTCAACCACCGCTTTACCTCTCGATTCCACCACCAATTTACTCGCATCTAGCCATAATTAACTTAATAACATCAATAAATGCTAAATAAACCAATTCCAATACACAATTATAGATTTCCCAACATTTTCCCCAAAAAGTCAAAAATCGACCACGAGCCCGCTTGGTCAAAACTCGAAGTTCGGACAAAAACCCGATTACTCATTCACCCCCGAGCTCGGATATACAATTGGTTTCGGAATTCGACCTCAAATTGAGGTCCAAATCCCCCAATTCGAAATTCCTAAATTCTACCCAAGAACACCCAATTTTCTATGAAAAACCCTAGATTTTGAGATGAAATCATGTAAAAAGATGAAATAGATTGAAGAAAATGAGTTAGAAATCACTTACCTATGATTTGGAGAAGTTTGGGTCTTTGAAAAATCGCCTAGGGATGCTTAGGGTTTGAAAATTTGAGAAGTGAAGTGGAAATCCCGTTGATCAGGTGCACATGTCGCAATTGCGACCTGAGCTTCGCACTTGAGAAGCTCGCAAATGCAAAGGTCCATTGCAAAGCGACAACCATCACACCACTGCTTCCTTCTCAGTTGCGAAGGAATGTTCGCAATTGCGAACACCAACCTCCGCAATTGCGACAAAAAGATCGCAAATGCGATCACCCCCTTCGCAGACTCTCTTCGCAATTGCGAAGTTATGTTCGCATTTGCGAACTAAGCCGGCCCAGGCCTTCTTCGCATTTGCGATAAGGGCCTCGCAATTGCCATCACTATTTCCTCGCAATTGCGAACTTTGGTCTCGTAATTGC